TATTTTGTATTTTATGTATTAGTTGTATTTTCTCATATTATCTTTGTTGTTGTTCGGAATGATAATGAGGGGGGGAGTTTTTGCACATGTTGCCAGAAAATTACATTTTTATTATTATTTTATTATTAATTAATTAATTATTATTATTCAGAACAAAGACAAAGATAATATGAGAAAATACAACTAATACATAAAATACAAAATATTTAAAGAAAAAAAATATTATGATTATTTATGATTATTGTAAAATAATACATATAGATCATAATTGCTATGTAATTGTAATAATATTATTAGTTTCTTTCTCATATATTGATATTCTTAAAAATATAAATCAATTTAAATAGTGACTCTGACAACAATAGGCTGTCATTCAAAAAATATCAGTTGAAGCACTGAAAGGGATCGAAGCGTAAGATCCAAAAGCAGTTGAAGTTTAATTGCCCCAAAGCATTTGGAATTTCAATGTAAAGGATAAGTATGTACACACTGAAGCAGTTGAACTATCAGTTGAACTGTAAACAGTGAAAGACACTGACGTTACAGTTGAAAAGTAACAGATAGCGTGTGCACTGTAAAGAGTGGCAGTTGTTATGTAAGCAGTGACAGCAGTTGAGGTTGTCAGATGTCCCTCCTGACCACATCTCTCTCATCTGTTGATGGGAAAGTTGCTGAGGTGTAGACTTTCAGGCCACTTCCTATAGAAAACATGGAAGTGCACGGTCAGAATGCCATCATGTTGCTTCACTAGGACTCCAGGAAATCTTTGTATCGATGATAAGCAGCTGGTGAACTTTGACCTCCCTCAGACTGAAATGAAGTTTACTTAACTTTAAATTATCTGTGTGTATGTGTGTGTTGTGGCTTGCGTTCGCTGGTTATCAGTAACAAACCCACATGATAGCCTCTGTACATCTTCTTGAAGTCCTCTCACACACACACACACACACACAGTTCACTCAAGGGTCAAAAACAAGCAGCAGCTCCACCCCTGTGATATATTATATCTTTCTGTTCTCACTCCCTCTCTCTGTACACACTCCCATGTTTCTTATTTCTTTTTCCCTCTATTTTAATTCTCGAAGCATGACGCAACCTTGCACATTTTGCCAACAACTCAAAATGAGAGTGCTTGGTTGGAATCTTTGGAGCAGGGTGTAAGACCGGTGACATCGCCCGTTTACTGGCCAGACTTGGTGAATATAAGCGGTCCGAAAATGATTAGATGATTTTTTTATTGCATATTCATTGCCAAGTGACTTGTTCAACAGCCCAAACTTTCATGTAAAAGTTCATGAAAGTGGAACCAAGGGTAGCAAAGCCACTGGTTGTACAATTCCATTGAAAAAAGTTTATTTTGCTCAGAAATGCTGTTTCAAATGCTGATGTTGCTTTTGGGCTTCGTCACAGTTGGGGGAATTGCAAACTGCAACAGACTGTTTAAAGAGAGATCGAATTCGAAACAGAAAGGGGATTGTCAAGACTTTTTGTGTGTACAGCCAAGCGCAACAACATGAATGTTTTTGAGGACGGACTGTCCACAAGTGTTCGCTGTTATCCCCATCTGTACGAGTCATCATGTCTCATCCCTGTTATGACAGCAGGCTCTTCACTGATTGGTTGCACGCGTAAACTGACTTTGACATGAAGAATCACTGAAGTGCAATCGTATCACATGTCACTACATGTCAAGATCACTTCACACATGAAACCGGTGTGGAGAAGGCAGATGTGTTTCAGTGTACAGCCAAACAACCGTCCCTGCAGGTTTTTATCTCAGTGAAAGGGAGTGGAATTTGGCAAGAAATCCGGGTAAATGTGGAGTTCCTCATTCCTTGGTTAACACACACACACCACTCCCTCTCTCTCTCTCCCTCTGAGGCTGGTAGATGCTGTTGATAAACTGGAAGTAACACATAAACACATTATAGGATGACTAACTTTACTTGAGATGTTTATTTTGACACACACACACCTAATACAGAAGCTTTGAACACATGATGTGTTTCCTGTCTGAACTGTGTGTGTGTATACGTAAGTACACTATCTCAGTTTGAGTGTGTTTATGTGCAAGGGAGGGCGAGAGAGATGGAAATCAACAAAGGCAGCCAGAGAGAGAGAGAGAGAGAGAGAGAGAGAGAGAGAGAGAGAGAGAGAGGACGGAGACAGCATCAGAGAGTGAAATGAAAAAGAGAGCGTGATCAGATGAGGCAGAAACCAGAGAGACAGTTCCCTCACAGTTTGTTTCTTTGATGAGACGCAGCAGTGAGGACAGAGAGAAAAGGAGTCCGATTCGTCTCTGTCATGGACCTACTGCCGGCGTTAGCGTCCACAGTGTCAGCCTCCACAGTCAGCCTTTTGAGGGAGAGCGCTGCCATTCAGAGCATCAGCAGGAGGTTCAACAGGAGGTAGGCAACACCTGAGCAGGTCACGCCTGAACAGGACAGTGTAAGTAGATGACTTTCATGAGAAAAAAATATCTTGAGATCGAGAGAAAAATAAAAGATTATCCCACTTATAAGAGAAGGTAATGAATACTGTATGTATTTTTTCCCACTGTGTATATATATATAAGGTTGTTCATAGCACCAGCCATTGTTGAAATTGGATTATAGAAAAGCTCCTGCTTTCCATAACCATTTATGAATGCACTCAACATACAGTAGCAAACACCTGATGGGTGAATCATGCATGCTGGATTTCTGACATCTCACATTTTATCAAAACATAAGAATGAAAACAGCCAGTTCAGATTTTTTTGTGTTGTGAGAGACATTTTGTGAACACGGTTGTAGCATTGTGAGAATTTGGTCCTAAACGTCAAAGCAGTTTGTGTTTGGCCCGTCGTTGGATGTGATCTAAGGTCTGGGGATTTGGATTTTACAACCAGAGGTTTCACCAACTTTCAATCTTTCATATGGGACAGCCCAACATGATGGTGTATAAGAGGCCTGTAAGGATGTTGCCATTTATAGCATCATATCATCGGTGTGTCGAAACTACTTTACCAATGACACGTTTCTATTTTCATACGCATTTTGAAGTATCGCATTAGAGAAGCTGTACATAAACGTCACAATTCGATAATTCGACAGTTGCAATCGCTTGAGTTTGTTTTTGACTTTGTCGAAAAAGAGTGGATGAGCTAAATGGATCATGGAAACGACTTGCCAAATAAGTTCCAACGTTAGCGAACAGTGTACGACATGACCGATCAGCTGTTTCCGCTGTCTGCGTGTTCCCCGCTATTTATTGATATTGTATTCATCTCTGGTGAGCATGAAACATGGCCAATTCTAGCGGACATGACAGAGCAATACAAACGTACCTAATTGTTTCCGATTCGCAACCTCTTCTTCTTCTTCTACTGGTTTACACGCGGATTACAGCCATGCGTAAAACTTCTTCTACTGGTTTACAGGCGGATTACAGCCATGCGTCAAACGTAGCCTGTACCGCCAACTTTTGAAGAAAGTACGCAGCCTTGTTTATTCCCCCAAAACCAGTTGATGGTTAAGGCATACTTCCATTTATTTTTTTGAAACATTTCAAAAGTTTGCTTAAAATTCACTTGACAATTGATTGGAAACAACTATTGTAAGACTTTAACTTGAAGGTTTTTACTTCTTTCTCATGAACTACTGCGCTTATTTGAATAAAATGTATGTAGTTTAGCTGGAAGCAGATTTAAACCCACAACTGTAACGGGTATAGTAAGGACCCCAGGAGCAGTACGACAAACACCAGTGATAGTTTGAATCAACGCTTTATTTTCCTCTGGACACAACAAGTAGAAAATCACAGGGAAACAGCGGCAGGGTCTCGTGGTCGAGGACAGAAGGCTGTGTGAGTTACCGGGGCAGAGGCAAGGTGGGGTAGCCCAAAACAGGCAGGGTCGGCAACGGGGAATCAGTCCAAGGGTATTTGCTGGAAGGTCTTGTATGGTAGCGGAGAACGATCTAGCAGTGAGTGTGTGTGAGACTGGGGTCTAGTAGGTGCAGCAGAGTGGGCAGGTGAGAGTGATGAGCTGATGAGGTGGGTGTGACTAGCAGGTGCACCGAATGAGCTGATTCGGTGAGTGAGAGATAGAGCTGTGACAACAACAGAGAAGTTGTGAGTTTGAATCCTCTCTGGATCTTCAAATATCTTGTTTTTCTTATTTTATCCTGAAGATTTTGTGCGACTCCTGAGCCGACTAGTAGATCTGTCACGCAGCGATTCAACAACAATAACAACCGCTCCTCTCTTTTCCTCTCTGGCAGAACCATGTCGTCTCCAGAGATGTGCTGGCCGGTGCCGATGCCGGCCATCGGGGCTCAGAACCTCCTCACCATGCCGGGAGGAGTTTCCACTTCGGGATACCTCCACAAGAAGGGAGGCAGCCAGTTCAGCCTCATGAAATGTGAGTTCACAATAACAAGATCAAGTGTGGGTGGACAGAATAAGCAGCATGTCCGAGACTGTATTTTAACCCCAGATTATCTCAATACCTATTGCCTGCTTTACAGGGCCGCTGAGGTACATCATCATCCACAAGGGCTGCGTGTACTACTTTAAGAGCAGTACCTCTCCTGCACCACAGGGGGCGTTCTCTCTCAACGGCTACAACAGGTCAGTGCATATCTGATGAGTCCACATTCAGTAATGTTGTTTTTCAGCATACTTCCAAACTCCCAGTTTGTTAACCACCTGTGTAAGTGGTTACCGCTGTATACAAGTCTCCACTTCATCAATACCCAAAATATCCTTTTTTTATTTGTTTTTTGTGAATGTACATGCATACATTGAATTCATATTAAATGAACTTGGCTTGAGTTTCAGGCGTGAGCTTGCTGGTGTGTTTGCATTTAAATGTAAAGCATTTGCACGCAGGGCTTTTATCCTGAAGCGCTTTATAAATGTGTCCGTGCATAACGCATTCATCCTCTTCCACAGAGTGATGAGAGCAGCAGAGGAGACGACGTCCAGCAATGTGTTTCCCTTCAAGATCGTCCACTTCAGTAAGAAACACAGGACGTGGCTTTTCTCTGCGGCCAGCGAGGACGAGAGGAGGGTGAGAACAACCACGCACGTACTCTGCACATTTACAAATGTATGTATTGACACCTTGTGAGAATACTTTTTAACTGCCAGAGTAGCTTTTATGCCTTGAGTTATTTAAGTGTCGGATAGACCATTATTGGCTCACCGAGTGTACACTGGCAAAGGTCCTGTCCTCTCATCTGCTAAAAATCTTTACACTCTGTATTGTTATTGCTTTTACAGAAATGGATGCGATTCCTGCGGAGGGAGATAGATCACTATAACGAGAGAAAAGAGTCCCACATTCCGAGGTAATGCACACTGTAGACTCTACACACACTGTGATGTACAGAATGTTTTTTTTATTGTTTTTAATTCATAACACAATGGGACATTTAATAGCTTTTCATTATATTGAGTGCCTGTGCTACTCGGGAGCCTTATCTCGCAGGGATTTCTTAAATTTTATTATATAAGAATAAAATCAGGTCTTCTTCCCTAAACTAAAATCATTTTATTAAAAGTTTTTTTGTAATTTGATAGAACTACGTTTTGTTTTTGTGGTTCAAGAAAACATATTTTTATGGGATATGATGCCAACTTCTTTGCATTTTATGATAGCCTGCAGCATTCATGGCTGCATCTCATAAAGTAGTTCAACATTAATGAAGACAACAATGCAATAAAAAGAAGCATAAATGTTTTTGGATGACATGTGAGCTTTTAGCAAGCTTGCAAACTGGCATAATGTAAATGACATAATGAATAACAAACTAAACATTTAAATTACAAAAAGAACGAGATGACCATCATAATGTTTGAAGCTACCTCGAAAACTAGCTTTTAGCAATGACGGCTAGTTTGAAGGAGCAGATGGGCTAGTGGCAAAAAGCTTTCAGATTGCATGTTGGCATTTATTTATTCAATGTCATGAACCTACAGCCAATCAAATCCACTTTAACTGGATGTTCAAACCTTTTTCTGAATATCACGTTTTCATGATAACTTTTTCTTTGTTGTCATAGTGACTCCGATTCAGATTGCGATAATTTCTATGGCACGATTGAGGAGCCCATGGATATCAAACACCACATCGATAACGCGGCAGATGGTGAGACCATGTAAATGACTACATACAGTGACTCACACGTTGTAGTTGTGTGTCATTACACTGTGGTATCTATTCTTTCTGTGTGTAGAATATGGAGATGATGATGATGATGATGACGATGAGGACGACTATCTGGAGCCAGATGGCGACTGTTCGCCAACATCGACAGGTGAGACACACACACACACCGCTCTAGCTGACTCGTACGCATACAGTCCGTTACGATGGAGGAAACAGCACAGTGAACTTCGACTGTTACATCAGTGACATCAGAACTGATAGTAATGAGGTCAAAGGTCACATCCGGACACCGAGACCCCACAGTGTTTTTGTTACTTATCATACGAACGTGGAGTTCTTGAAAATGTTATACAAGCTGAGGTGAAAGTGACAAATAGAGGAAAAACAACTGTGTTGAAGGAAGCGAGGACAATAGCGGGAAATACTACTAGAAGTACATTTATAATGGAGTTTGTAAATGTATGTGTGTTTCTTTTAGACACATCCAGGAAGTTAATGGGGTTTATGTCAATACAAAATAATTAGTAAAGAAAAAATGCTACATGAAAAAAAACTATACCTATAAGGATGGACTGTGCGATAAACATGTATGGAAAGAAATCCAAAACTAAGAAACCAGCCTGATTTTTTTTTTTTTACATTTTTAGGTCGACCTACGGGGCCGCCCCCCTCCTACCCCCCTCCCCCGGTGCCGGTTTCATTTAATCTCCGTCAAGACTCCAGTCCAGGTTTCCACAAGGCCCCACCTCCTCTCATCCCGCTGCTCCACAGAATCCCAACCAGCCCGCTCCCCAGAAAGCCCCCGCCCTGTTTCCCCCCTCCCTCCTTACTGAAGGACTCTCACAACGGCCCGCCCCCCCCCCCCCCGTTCGCCCCCCACCTGCACAAGTCCTTGTCTCCCACCCCCCCGGCTCCTCCTCCCCCCAACGTAAAGAGAGCCCTCCAGTGCAGAGTGACGTCCGTTGGGGGGCCTGGGAACGACAAGAGAGACTGGAGGCCTATGCCGGCCGTGTCGGTCCAGTCCCCCGCCACTCTGCTTATCTGTGACCAATTAGAGACCAGGATGGTCTTAAATAGTCCCGCCCACTGCTCCCTTATTGCTGGAGGTAGCAAATCAGTGGGCAACCCCTGCAGCAAGCCGAGCCTACCTCCTCAGTATAACATCGGAGGGTCCTTCCTCAGGCTTGTGACGTCAGACTCTCCGTCCCTCAGCAAGACGTCCTGCAGTCACCCACCACTGCCTGGCCACCCTCCGCTCTCTCCTCTACTTAAACCTGGACTTCACAACAAGCCAGTGCCGCCCAAACCTCCTCCACCCACAGTCAAACCCCCGCTGCCTTCAGCCAAGTCCAAGCCGCCGGGAACCCCGCGCCAGTAAGTTGGACTCAAACGCACAAAACACTCAACACAGAATTCTTCAGAGTGCAATCATGTAAAAAAAACAAAGGTCAATCAGGTTGAAGCTACCACACTAAGGTGCATTTCCCCCCAGAAGAGCATCTCCAGACGGCCAGAGCTTCCGTTCGTCGGGAGACGAGGTGCCCGCAGAGTTCAAGAGGAAGCAAGACTCGGACAAACACAGCCGAGGAGAGGAGTCTGACGACGACGACTACGAGAACGTAAGTGATGTCACAACTGATATTGAGCTGCAGGCCGCACAATCACTGCGCATATAGATGCTTTAAGCCTCCTGCAGACTACAAGACTTGAAGAGAGTTGAAGTGCTGCTCACACCACAAGACATTGTTTTTGTTGATGTGAGGGCGCACAAACAACATAACTGACCAGGTGTACTGATTACAACACTATCACCAACATGAGCGCTCCAATAAACACATTGTGTTTAACCAGGTGTTTCTATCTGCAGGTGCAGCTGCCAGACTCCGTGTTCATTGATACGACCGAAACCAGCTTCATAGAAAAGTAAGACGGATACACTTTTCCTTGTAATACAGAAGTTGAACCTGAAATATCCCTTCAGCAGGCCACAGCCCTGCTGCTTTGCAGAGCATTTCTGCATCTAGTGCTTTGTTTCATTTTATTGCCGTGGTCTTTATTTATGAAGCAGATATGCCGTAACATTACTCTCTACATTGTTCAGTCGTTAGTCATTTGCAGCATTAGTTCACCACCGTTCATATCAATGATGTTGACGGTGTCTCTATTGGTAACCTGAGACGACGTTTGTACCCGCAGGTTGTTCAGAGAGAGCCCCATTCCTCCACAAGACGGACTGTACTGCATCCGAAACTCAGGAACCAAAACATCAAGGGTAATGTTATAATAACTTATCATATTATAATATAATAATTAACTCGTCTTATTGTATTCAAATGATAATAATAATATAAGTCACAAGCTATGGATAGGACTTTTCTCAACCAAGTACACTATGTGGGCATTCTTATGTTTTATTTATATGTATGTATGTATGTCGACTAATGAAGGGTAATGCAGGTGTAAGACAAAATGTCAATCAAATATTTGTTGTAGTTATACAGTTTATATGAAAGTCATTACAGGTTAACAGAAACTCATATGTTCTGATATCTTAATAACTAAAGTCTGTGTTACTAATGGGACATTTAAGTCAAAACATCACCTGATCCTGACAACTAATACAATCTTTCTGGTGTGTTTGCCAGGTGTTGGTGGTGTGGGATGTCAGTATAGGCAAAGCCAGGAACTACCGACTGTTTGAAGAGGTGAGAAGCTCGCCGTTGTATTCATACAATTTATAATCATTTATGTGCAGAGATTAGGCAGAACGACAGCGTATCATTTGCAATATTGAAGTCCTTTGGTTTGCTGTTGGTGTTTTTGCCAGGTGGACCGTATGTTTCTGGACAACGAAATCACCTTCCCCACTCTGTCTGCTGTGATCGAACACTACTACAGCCACCCTCTTCCTCACCACGGCTCACTCTGCCTGCAGAAGCCGTACACAAAGACGCTGAGCTTCTGATCAACGCAGTCAAACCGGAGAGTAGCAGAGAGTCGGGGCCTTCTCTGCAAGTGAAATCCATCTCCGTCAAGCAACAGTGCGTGGAGATAAAAGTCACCCACACGGATGAAATAACTGTCACAGTAAATCAGAACACATCATCCCTCACACTGTTCAATGCTGTTGCACCAGAATATGCCATAACGCTTCATGTTTAACAGCAACCACAGTAACCTTACAATTAATGGAACATTATTTACCTTACTTTAACACACAAGTCTCTTATCTTAACACAGCAAGCCATCCTAATCCTCTTCTGTGCACTGAAAACATCAGTTACTGTAACTGCTCTGTTTCTGAAACATTCCTGCTGTTTTATGCAAGCTGAATCGGTGTCATCGGGAAAGCGTGTAATGATAGCGATGAAGCACAATACATGAGCCAGTGTGATGTAATTTGTCCTCAATGGGGCGCTGTGACACCATATGGCAAAAAAAGAGAAGAAAATTCCCCCAGCTTCATGTGGGATGTGGGTTTACCTGTGGTTCCTTTTGGGTCTGTCCCGTTGTGCCCACACAAGTCCCTGATTGTGTGACATATATCAACTGCCAAAAGCGAGTTGATGCGACACAAAAGTAGAATAATAGAACATAGTAATATATTACTCAACCAAAAAAGATAGCAATTTAAAAGGGAGGTTGAATCAACTGAAATAAACTTGCAATCAAATCCATTTAGATGTTTGGAGAAGAAAGAAAGTGTCAATCCTACTTACAAAAGATGTCACAGTGACCTCAACTTTGACCGCCGAATTCTAATCGGTCAACATAATTCATTTTCAAAAGGATGTTGTTGATGTCCCCTCCCCTTCTGGGGGTTGTCACGTGTCCAATCCAAGTGTATCTCAGAGTCAATGGGTGATGTTTTAGTGAGTTGTTGAAATGCACATCCACAGGGCTCTTTTCATCGTTACTACATGTGTTACTCTGAAACACGGGTCTTGAGACAGCGTGTTGTTTTCAACATGTAGTTGTTGCTCATATAGATGGCTCTACGTGTGTTACAAGTAATGATACTGTTGATATTGAATGTTTTTACCGAAACCCGGATGAGTAAATAAATGAGATTTAAAAGTGACGTTACATTGTGCACACTTGTATTTACAATCTGGAATGACCGACAAGAAAGGAGTAGATTGTTCTGGAGGAAGGTCATCTCTGACTATCAGATTGTGAATGTTTGGATCGAACTGTACACAATGCGTGGAGAATGTTTAAAAAACGGATTTGAAGATTTGGATCAGAATTCAAAATATGCCAGTGTTGCCGCCCGATCTCTTTTAATTCTGTTCCCAAAGGAGAATAGTTTATAATGCAGAGGATGCTTACGTTAGCTGGATCATTCCTTCAGACAAGAATAATGTTCAGGCTGAATCCAACGTGTCATAAAGAACTTTTCTTTTTATTGTGTTTATTGTCAGCAGACCTAAAACTGACTTGTGGGTGCTACTGGCAACGACTGGACCGGTATGGGACTGTTATTAGCGGACGGCAACGTCTTTATATATTTCACAAATGTAAAAGAAGTCTGTCGTCCAGACTTCAGTTGTCTCTGTGTAATCAATGGGCAACACATATTTATTTACACATGCACCAAGTCCAAAAACTGAAATTGCGATTTAAGAATCCCAGGGGCTTGTAACGCTTCAATATGTTGTACTTTCTTTTGCAAAGTCCTTGGAGGGTAGAAAACATCTCCCCTATAAACAAGAAATGAAACCAGACTGTACGGGGTACAAATTGTCAGATTGATCATGAAGAAATTCATTCTCAACTGCTAAAACGTTGACATTCTGCAAATACAGTTTGCACAGCACTGACTTTAATGTTGTACATCACTATATATTTATATGTAAATGCTGTAAGTACTGTAAAAATGTAAATATATTGTTTTCTACAGAAATATATGTTGAGAGTGTATAAAGGATTACTCGGAGCCTCCTGTTTTGTCTTTTTTAAATTTGTGTATCTAAACTTTGAGGTTGCAGCTTCCTGAGTGTCCTGTGCTTCAGAGAGCTATCCGACAGAGAGCTATCTCTTAATCATATTAGAAGATGTTAGAAGTTTCTTACTTCATGCAGCGTAGTTCCAAAAGACCTCAGATGTTTGTTTCTGCTCCAGTTGGGGTCGACTCGAGGCTCTCAAGCGATGGATTCCGGTTGAAGGAGTCTGTGGTCCTCAGCTGGCTTCAGATGCCCTCCCAGCGGGACTGGCAACTGTATTTGAAGTCGATACACTGCTGTTGCAAAGTGGTTATGGGAAGCAGGCTCACGATATGGCCTTGCACTTCAGGTCTCGATCCGTGGTAGATGATTATTGGTCCGTTGATGAGCCGGGGTCAAATAATACTCTGAATACTTGTTTAACTGTATGTGAAATTTTAGGGTGAAGAAAAACAGGATGTGAACAAATTGCTTTTTCCTTCTCTTTTCCTCTTACAAAACCAAAACAGTGTTAAACGATACTGACAATAAAGCATAATAATAAAGAATCGTACATACTGTGTAGAATACCCATTCTTATACACTATTTAGTATGCCAGAAAAATATTTAGTACGTCCCAACACATAGTCAAATGGAAATGCAGTATGTCCACCGCATCCGGTCGCAGTTTGCAGTATGCAAGCCAGCATGCTTTTCATCAGATCCACAATCCTCTGCACAGCAGATATATAAGCAAGAGGGTCAAAGTTCAAGGTGCCATGTTATGACGAAGTAGTAAGTCAAAATGGAATGCATACTGCATGCAACAGTACGTACTTTGTAAGGGCAGCTGCATGCATGCACTTAACTTCAGTTCCTTGCTGCTTGCTTCATTAGGAGGTAGCAACAACCCGAGAAGATGCTAAATTTCCAGATGAGCATAACCAGCTTTGAGTGTCGCTGTCTGTGGTGCTGAACAGCACTTATGAGGCCACACAGAGACCACAGCACGTTTCCAAACTGATCACTAGTGAAATCAATGCAATCTAAATATGGTCCACCCATCCATGAATTAAACTTCGTGGATATATAAGCAACTGTGCATTCTTTTTTTGACATTTTCCATATGTTTCTGTTTTATTCCACCGTCACTGTGCTCTATAGTAGACTTCTTTTTTGTTATCTACTTATTTAAGTGAAAGACATTACTTTATATATTTCAATGTTATGGTACCAATCATTGTACTCATTTTTTTACAAGGTTGCGGCTCATTTTGCACACGATGAATCAGTCCGGTGTGGTGTTAAGTCTCAGCATTACCTCCTCTTCCTTCTGCCATCTCGCAGGGCTTAGTAGAGAAAATAAAAAGTGGACTACCAGCCCTCCCCCACAGAGGGATAAAGAAGCTCCCCCAAACGTCTTCAGAAACCTGGCGCTGATCTGGGCGTGATTGAATATCTGCTTGTAGCCAGTGGTTAGAGCCCCCGCAGCCTCCTGGTGAGACGAGAATAAAGCTGTTTGGTGTGAGGAAGTGTTGATATCTGTGGGCTGTGTGCACTTCTCTGCCTTAAAAGTGTCGCTTCACTGCTGGATTAAAATCCAAAACATGATGAGATGAAAATGAAAAACTAAAACCCTGCCGGGCCTTGTTTTATAATCCATCTGAAGCTGAGTTCCTTCGTTTTTTCCCCCCCTTTTGTAAGAGCTGACTCTCTGTTTTAGCTTTTTTTTTTTTTCATAAAGCTGCTGTTTCATTGCACTGATGGACGCTTACTCAACATTCTTCTCCGTTGTCCAGCTGTGAGCCACTCCGCAGGGACAGGCATTACAAAATCAACTGTTTCCAAGTAATTACGTGTAAAGCCTTGAAGCTAATGTATGTTGCACTGGTCCTTTGCAAAGACAGAATCACCTTGGTGACTATAGTCCTAAAGGAACATTGTCATCTAGCAAATAACTGGGATGTCTTACATAGAAAACCAAATTCTTCATGTTGTGTTCCCACACGACACTGACACTACAATTACAGTTTAAACATGCATGTGGGAGGAAAAGTGGCTTAAATGGAGCCATCTGGTACTGTACATGTTCACCTTGGGTTGTGTGCAGGTTGATACTATGCTGTGACATCTAGCTGCCATGTTTAATTAGAGATGTTTGACAGCACACAAAATCATTAGCTTCTCTAAAAGCAACCAATCAGCTTGCAGCCACCACCGACTGGTTAGTCACAGTGGTGTGCTCCGTTTTTTTCTTTCTTTTTATTTGAAAGCATTTTCTAAAGGTGATAAATTCAGAACAAATCTATCGCCTTCACAAAGCTATCAACGTGGCGACGGCTGAGCTGGCAGCTATCGGTGCTGAAAACAGTGCTGACAGAGCTAACAGCGTTTAACCGAAGGTGAAACATTACAATATCCAAAATGTTTCAAAACATGTTTGTCGTGTTTTTGGTGTCTGGCAGGCCTTCAAACTCACACAATTCTGGTATGTTTTACTGATCAACAACCACATCTCCCCTGCAGATATAATGTCACCATTGTTTTCTATGGGAAATTAAAAACACTCTTGTTTCTTCAATGCTCTTGTTCTTCCCAGCAGTTACAGAGCTGATTATCAAGTCAAATAAGAAGAGCGGTTGGATTTAGATTTCTGGAGTCGTCCTCACTGTTCAGGTCCCTGACAGTGAGCTTGCAAATAATGATTTTCCGCAGTTGTATTTTATAAGAGACTGGATTTCCAACCGTTAGATCTGCCATCGGTGTGTGAGTGTGTGCTTGTGTGTGTGTGTGTGTTTTGAGGTGACTGTAAGAAAGAGATACTGGCAGTCAGAGGGAGACGGAGACTCTTTCTCATAGAGAATTTTACAGCAGTTTGTGTGTGTGTTTTTTTGGGGGATGTAAAAATCTGGGACAGAATGAGCCTTGGGGTGTATCAGCAGGCATCAGCCATCACTGAAGATGAGGCTCAATCCTCTGATAAGAACTGATGCGAGCCTATGAAACCTGGCAGCATGCAGCCTGGAAAAATCTAAAAGGCCTGGTGATCAAAATGGGGAGAAATGGCATCAGACAAACAGAGGGAAGAACATGTAAGAGCTGAGTTTGGTTACGAGATTTTCACTCTTTGAAAAATGAGACATCGGCAATAAAATCAAAACTAAACTTTTGAACTGTTATAGATACTTTAATTCTATAGTTGCCAAAATGATAACTTGATCTTCTTTAATTTTGACATATTGGTGGTAGTTGTGATTGTTTTTATTTGTATACAATACATAATGCCTGATGAAGACAAACTTGTACCTCTGTCCAGTCTTCCCTTTTGATGAATAATAGAGTAAAACTCAATCAGCCTCAGTTGTCCTTACTGTATCATATGTTTATTTCAACAACATAAATCTGACTGTCACAGAAGTCTTCAGTATGGAGAGCACACATTGATACTGTCTCCACCAAACGATTCAATTCCTCTTACACTTGTTTCAACTTTATACCTAAGCCTTGAAGACACAGTGTCTCTGACGGCCAGGACCAATTGTTCTCATCCTTTAATGAAGATGTTGTGTATCCAAGGTCTTTAGCTTTTCCGCCAGACAGCCTGAGCCTCCTCACACAAAGTGTGCCAAGTGTGAGTGAGTGTATACATGCAAGTCCTGTTTGACAGCAAAGTCAGAGAATCTTGGGAAATGTGGATTTCATGTGACCTTGTCCTTTAATCAACACTTCTGGTCACAGTGGCCTCTGTTTAGCAAAACATAGGGCTCACTTAATTGTGGTTACTTATGTTCATGTTTGTGGATATTTTAGTTTAGAAAGGAACTAAAGGCATCAAATGTGAAGGAAATGTTTATGGAAAACTAATGCTGTCCCGGTGGAGCTTTAGTATGCAATTACAGTACAGTATATCGCTGCTGTGTGAACGTTTACAGATTTCCACCACAAGTAAGTGCACCTTTGTGGCTGAAGGTGATGCAATGTTATTAGTATGCAAATCAGGAAATGAAAAAAAGTCCCTTTGGGTAGAAGCAGTTTAATCACGCCCTGTGCATTGCATCTGTTCCTGAGTAATTGATAAATGAACAAAATTGAATCTATCTATTTCAATGTCAGAATAGATTGGATTGCTAAACGATGTCATTATTTACTTACACTTCCCTATCTGTATGTGAGTAAAGTCTACTTTATTATTTTATTATTTCATGCGGACAGTGAAGGGTTAACAATGTTCCAAGACGTAGCCTACTGAAGGAGGAAAAATAAAACCGTCCTCGGCTGTGACGGGCTCTGTGTAGCACCACTAACAAACCGGTTACCGGGGCCGCTCCTCAACGTCAATTTAAGGAAATGGGTTTCAGCTTGAGAGGAGTGACCGGGAGCTCGGACGGCCCCCACGGCGCGTGGTTGTAGAGCGACATCAAAAGGCGCGTGGTGTGCGCGGCAGCCGTATCTCCGTTTCATTCTCACTGCCCCTCTTTGAGCACAGTGCGTGCTGCTGATCGGTCGGGTTGCGTCTGCAGGAGCGGCGGTTCTCTTCTGCATGTGTGGTTTGCGCGTGGACTGACCGAATCAAAGACGAAAGCAGGCCAGCGCGAGCCAACAAGAAAGAACGAGAGGCAGCCCGCGAGCGCTCAGCTAGCAACCCGCACGTTACGCTGCGAGAAATGATTACGTCCGCACCGGGGATCCTTCTGCTGCCGATGCTAATATGTCTCCAGCACTGCATTGACGTCCACGGTAAGTCTCGAGTCCTCGTATGTGTGTGTTTGTGCGCTTATGCGTGCGTATTTGCGCGTGTGTGTGTTTGACAATCAAGGCGCTGGGAAACACGCACCATGTCTCCTGTGAGGTTGGCTAACATTACCCAGCTTGTACACCTGTCTTGGCTGCTCCTTGAAGGAATGACCGTGCTTGGCTACACCTTGGGCTAGGCAACCTTGCGCCAATTCCTTAGCAAAGAAACTCCCAAATAACGTCTTTTGGGGGCTAAAATGAGACTTGTTCCGCTTTGTGTGAGCTTACAATGTATTTCAAATAAATGTTTTCGTCTTTTAAATTAGTAATTTATTATGCTCGAGTTTTTTGCTCTGTCTCTGGAAATGAAAGGGAGAAGGGGGGGATGGAGAGGCCCGTGTGGTTTGTGTCGCCTGCTGTATATCTGACGTTAGTGCTTGTCGCCACTCATCCATGCTCAATTAGCCCTGTGGTTAATTAATTTCACCCTGAAACAGACACGCATCCCTTACGAATAAACCCATGCTTCTTCTGCCGTCTTGGCTTCTGTAGCATGTCCAGATTTCTCATTCGCTTCCACTGTGGGATTGTCTACTCCCTTCACCACCCCCAGCGAGGCTGCTAATTTACAGTGGATTGACATAGCGCTATAAAACAGGGGTAGGTTGGAGCACCGCAGTCCCGGTAGTGTAGCGTCAGTTGGGGGCATGGAGGGCGAGGAGTTGCCGCGCGGCCATTTACTGGCCGCAGGTGATCCCAATGAGGGCTTAATTAAGTGACCAAGGTTAATTTAAGTATTGCCAGCCGGCTGTGATTGAAGAGCAGTTTGCAGCACTGCTGCAGATATCAATTCATATCCGTTAACTACAAATAACAGAACATTAGTTTGATTAGTCAGTGAAATTATTAAAAAATATATTAGTTCCAGCTTTACAAATGTGAAGTTTTGCTGACTTCCTCAATAATATTATTGTTCATTTAATGTCTTTGGATTTTGAACTGCTGGATGATAAGAATACCACTTCGGGTAGTGACTGATTGGGGTTTGTTTTTTTATTTTTGATGAGTAATAAACTATACTGACGAGTTGGTGCAGCCCTTCAGAAATCCTCACATTTGAGAACCCGGAAGCAAAAAATGTTTGTTGTTTTAGCTTGATTAAACAGTTGTTGTTTTTTGAAATTGTTAATTATTTTTTACTTTATTGACTAATTGTTTCAGAACCAATTCACATCCTTAAACTTTACTCTCCTTATATTAAGTATCAGTCATGTCATTTTGCTGACTAACCCTGCTCCAGGACTGTTTATCGCTGAGTAAAAAAAGACATGATTTGCTTTCTGGGTCTAGTTAAATCATGATTTTTAGTTGGCTTGCGCTTGCCTATAATGTGTTTTCCTCCTACCTTATGCCATAAATAGTGTCCAGTCTATTGAGTTCGGTAGTACTGTAGCAAATTGTATGCGCTGTTAAACTACTCGATGTCTGAGTTCTTGGAGATAGAATTGTAGGACTGTGATATGTAGTATGATGGTCCTTGCTCAGGCCTGATTGCTCACATTGTGGAGGTTCCTTTCTGCCTCAACACATGGGATCTGTACAAAACATTGGCACAGTTCTATTGCTGAATAATAATTTCAGCAGTAGTTTGCAGGCAGGCTAAATTATGAAACAGCTCCGACAGGCAGAGAGCTGTGTTGGGCTACTTGTGTCCTGCAGAGATTTCAGGCTTTTCAATTCCTACTGTAGAAAGTCACAGATGACACAGAATCAAAACTGTAATGTGAACACTCTCCTCGTAGCATACACCCACCACCTTCTCCGCTCCAAACCAAACGCACTCACACAGACTAAGATTGTGTGAGCCTATTTGAACAAGATGTAACACAAATTAGATAGCGGCAAGAGCAGCAGCAACGCTGGCCTGATTAAAATGGATGTATTTTTCCTCCACGGTTACTGTGATACGTTGCGAGACCCAAATCCTCAGCTATATGAGGGGGGGGCTATGTGGGGGTGCGCTTGGTTCTTGATGTGGGCGGAGTGGTGGAGAGAGAGGGGGGGAGAGGAGTATACTGCAACCATTTCTGTTACTAGGGAAAATTGCATTACCATGACCTCCAGTGTGACAGCATTTCTATAGCACACAATGATCTATTTTGGGAGATAGATGGTTCATTGCAGCTCCACGCCTGTTGAATCTACGGGTTCAAACACACAGGGTACTAGCAGGGGAAATGGTATCTTTTGAAATGATCTGATTTTTATTTATTTTTTTTTACATCAACATTTATTTGCATGCGACAGTGAGTGTTCTAGGGTCAGTGTCCGCAAGAAGAGAATTTAATTTTGAGTCATAATGAGAAAATGTTTTCGTTTTAAGAAGTCATAACATTTTTTTAATATTTCAACAAATGCCAGCATACATTTAGTGATTCTGATATTATTACTGTCTTGCTATCTGACCAAGTGCATCACCTGGAAAATAAAGAAAATGGACCCAAACATCCACCCATACACTACAAACCTGTTATCTAAATATGTTTTTAGATCACATTTTTGAGGTTTCAACTTTGCAAATGGTAGTCTGCAGCCACGGGAGAAATAGTGGTGGCTTTAGTTATGTGTTCGAACACATCATGAACTAATCCTGCAATAATGTATGCAAACACACAACAAAAAAGAGACAAAGGAATGCCGTTCATCATTCTTTTGCAAGACAAAGAGCTGAACGCTTCCTCAGTCCTTATGTGGGATCAGTATGTACAGTTTGAAAGTTCAGCCAACAATTGAGTGACACTGCAGGGAGAAGGAGAATACTATTGTACAGGTTTATATAGCCTACTTCAGGTTACTATTGAAGTCTGTTATTTTGCTGATTGGCTCAAAGTGCAGGGTGTGCAGTTTTCCAGACAGCATGGGTTTCTGTAGACGCTAAGATGGTAACTCCAGAGAATACACCCTTAAAGAAACACAGTAACCTATACAGTTCTTTACAGAATTGGGTTCTCGGTTACAGTGGCTTTGCATGTTGCACCTTGTTTATTATTAAGCAGTAATTTTAATATCAGTGAACCAGAACAGGTGCTAATTCAACAAGACTTGAGTGTGAAATGCATCCCCTTTTAGTGTTCAGTGTAGTATTTCAGAATCCCTGAATATCTGTTCACTAAACTCTGCTGTTTTGTGATGACTCTGTTGCTTAAACCTCCAGAAGTGTAAGTCAAAATATTTCCATGTTTTGACATTTTAGATTAAACTAATTGTTAGTTTTAAAAATCAAAGTATTGAAAGCTGGCATTTATTGTCAGATTTCTTGTGTACTGACACTCAGAATCTATCAACGTTTAAGTATCAAAGTTTAGATTGTATGTTATTTAGGAAACATCTTTCCTAAATGGCTGCTTGGTTTAGACATTTTTGAGAACTGGCTTTAGTTAAATGCCAAAAGGGTTTAGCACAGCTCTAATAGCTGTCGTTGTGAACTATAAAAACAAGGGTGAATATCGACTCAGCAAAATTAACTGCAAAAAAATTTACCGATATTCGTTTCATCTGAAAAAGCCTGCTTTACGATACCTCTGTAGTTCACACAGTAATTTGTTTTTGATCAGCACAGGTCTAAGCAGTCACTGGGCGCCTGAGGCTCTCTTTATATGATCATTATCGCTCCGTCAGCAGGTCAAGCTGATGAGATGAGTCAGGACTTTTATGGTTGAAGTGGAAATATTTCCCTTATGTAACAACTCATGAAGATGACTGGTTTGTTTGCTTCTGGCTTGTCTAACATGTGTAAGTTTGTGCTTTTTGCAACACAACTGGTGTCAGTGGTCCTTTTCCTCAGTTTGTAGTTTGTTTCTGTCTTATTTGCATCATGTGGAGTTTGAATTGTGGCGTTAGGGAAATGTAGATTGCATCTGTGGATCTTTGAGCCGTTTCCCAGTGTTTCTGGCACCCTGGCAAACTTTTTCTCAAATTTACAAGATCTACCACATTTTTAAATTGGCCCAGTGTGTCTGGAGAAGTCTAGATCATCGGAAAACAACAAGTTGCTGGACGAGGCCCAGCTTACATTAACAGTGGGATACTCTGATCAAAAGCTTGCAAAACTGTACTTCAGTTCAATTACTGTAACATTTTTGTTTGGCAATGCTTTTCAAACATTTCAGTGAAATCCCAGAGCACCTCTGAGCTCAACCCACTGCACGAATGGCAGAGAGCCTCTCAAAGCCCTTTATTTAATTAGTGTTTTTTTTTAGTTTTGAAAATAAAGGAAGTTTCTCGTTGTGCTTTGACTCATTTGTCTGTTTCCTCTTTACATGGAAAGGTCTTGGTCAGATAATTCTCTCTTTTACGAAACATCATAATGTAAGTGGAGTTGTTGTAGTTGGATAAATCTGTATTTTTTTTTTTTTTTAATTTTTTTTTTGGCTTATGGTTAATCTTATCAGTAGCATATATCTGCTAACACACAGTGCTGTATGGATGTTAGGACCGACTCGCTGGCCACAACGAAGGAGAGAGATGCACTTGGCAATGACTAACTGAAATGTATTAAAGTAAGGATAATTACAATGAGCCAGTGGTTAATGCGAGGATATTGCATGTCGGTGTGAAATGAGAAAAAAACTGAGAAAAGAATAAAGTAGTAAAATCTTCCACACAATCCTCTATTCTGTTTTAACTTGTTTGGCCCTGTAGTTCCCTCTCTGCCCCAATGTTTTAGTCTTTGGTAATTGCTGACTGCTCTCTTTCATTGTTTTGCGGAACCCAGGCTCTTGTATTGTTGCAATTTTACCCAAACCCTCATGTGTATTGCAAATATCTGTCTGCGTGTGTACACAAGGACTCAAGAATTAATGTGAATTAAATGCTCAAGTTTTTTTTATCTCAAACTATTTATTTTTGGCTTTAACTTCTGCTCAGGTTATAAATCAGCAGTTGGAAGATGGCTCTCTGCGCTCCAGGAATTTATGGTCAACTCCTCATATTTTATTTCCTGACATGTTGGAATAATGAGAACCAGCATCTGTTGCAGCCAGTCAGCCATATTTAGCTGCAGCACTCCTTGCTATTGTTTATTTACTGGTCAGAGGGTCACATGGTGAGCAGGATGAACTTTCTTACTGAGGAAGGATTTCCTGACCTGTGGAGGTAATCGACAAGTTTGGTGTCTCATTTAGTCCGGATTTTAAAATGCTGGTAGGTATACTGTGATACATAATGCTTTGATTGTGGTGATTGAAATGGTTAATGTGGATGAAAGGTCAGCACACTCCTCTGTAACATGACCGTGGTGTACAGCTGGTGTAGTCTTGGTTGAATGGAAGTCTGCAGGCTGTTGGCTCTATATCTACCTCCTGTGCTGTGAAGTAAGTGGACTTGTACCAGCCAACAGTCCTAAACCCAAACATGGTCTCAGTATAGTGGTGTTTGTGAAGCTGAAACTACATTCAATGACTGGAGGTTCCAAAGTGGCTCCAGCTACAGTCAGCAGAACCATACATTGTATAACTTGGGCACCATTTCATTAATGCAGGGCTTTAGTTGTGTGTTGCTGGCTCAGTTAAAGGCCCGAGGCGCCTCAGGTTCAAATCGAATCAAGAGAATGTTTCTCTCCCTAAAGGAACTGCTGACCCACTTAAAACAGTTTCCTTCATAAGTGTTTCAGAGACTAAATGCATTTTAAAAAGCTTTTTCCATCCTGACAATAACAATCTGTTTAGTACCTTTTGGCCCCCAAATCATCTGTCTCCTTGCATCTAAAAAGTTTTGACAGGCAACATGTGACTTCAGTGGCAGTGATTCAGCTGCATCTGCAAACTCTCCTGGGACGTTATTACCAGTGTGCTTCATTTACCCATCTGGACAGACGCACAGTCCAGACTAACACAACTGTCAAGGTCAGACAGTGATATTTTAAGGCTGCACTACAAAAGCTACCTTTCTTGTTGAAGGGGAATTAAATCTTGTGACTATTTAGTTTCTACAGTAGTGTCGCTGTTTTGTATTTACCAGACGATTGATTGGTGCTGTGACTGAGATCAGCAATGGCTGTTTTCTTTCTCCCTCCTTGAATATTGTTCATTCAGGCAGTTGAACAGATGTTGGCCAGTAGACATTTCAGGACATTTTCTAGCTCTCCACTAAAATATGGATGTCACGTCGTCTTCAGTTGCAAATGCAAACACGGGAGTGTTTAGACATCAGAAGTGTGTTTCTAAGTGCTCTAACACAATAGGAGGATGCTGGTTCTCTCCTCTGCATTGTTTATAAAGATGTTTCAGCCAGTATGATGTAAGTGGAGCTGGATGGAAGTTATTTCACCACAGTTCTTGATTGTTAAGGTGGTTAACAGAGGTGTACTGTTGTAAAATTGTAACGCATGTTTTGTCAGGAGATGTGAAGGACTTTGTGGAAATCCAACTCGTGGAGCTGCCTCAGTGATAATTGAGATCTGCTCAGAGTGCCAGCTGGTTATTTTAAAAGCAGTTTGTTTTGTTTTTAGCTACAGCACTGCAGGGAATCTTTCCAGGACTAAACAAAAAGCAAATTACTCGAAACAAATAGTAAATGATGATTATGAATACATTTTGCACTATAATCACTTGAGTTTTCCTCATATTC